AAAGGACAGGGCCTAGGGCTTGGGGTTTGGGGTTTAGTGACATCTCTAAACCTTTTGTTTGTTTTAGGGGGTCGTCAGAATAACGGAGATCCTAGAAACAAGAAGATGAGGTTGCAGAAGCTCTCGACTGAACTGATCTCCACAACCAAAAATGGGTTTGGGCCGTACCTGGACTCTATAGAACCTACCGTTTTGGGGATCCCTGGCATAGTTTCCTTGTATAAGTCCTTAAAGAGCTAGGTCGTCTGTTGACTAAGGGGCTGAAAACCCTAGCCCAAAACAGCTCACCTTTCAAATACAGTAGGCTTATATAACGGTTTAGGGTTTAGGGTCCCTAAACCCTAAACCCAAAGCCCCAACAGGTTAAAGGTTACTATAGGGGCCAAAAAATACCTTTTCCGTTCGAAAGATTCCTTATTATAAGGATAGTTTAATGGGCCCCAAAACGTTGTTCTAATTATTAAGGCCCCTATCTTGGGGTTTGGTCTATGGCCCCTGAACCCTCATATAGGGGCCTTATAATCATCAGAACAGGTTTTTGGGGTACATTATACCCTAATCATAAGAAGGAAACCCCAAAAAGGTATAGGTAATTAGAAAGGCCCCTATATTAGACCCTTAACCCTGAAACGTCCCAAAGCCTGAATGCGAGACCCTCAAACCTGAGCCTAAAAACAGCCCACCCCTTTCCAAACAAGCCTCACACCCCGTCAAGTGCTCAGAGCTAAGGCAGGGGCTGGATAAACAGAGTAGGGTTTTTGGGGCATGTAATGCTATAAGCGGACTAGAAGTAAACTACGATGGATTTTGAAGGTCATCGAAGGACCAGAATGGAATACTCTATGGTAGTAAGCATTCCAACCGCAATATGTCGCGCTTCAGGCGCTTTGCAAACAAAAACAGTTTAGGGCACGCAAGCGTATTCCCGAACAGCTGGCGTGTAGGGGCCCAAGAGTTGCTCAGGTTCCACCACACTACAGTAGCCCTTTCAAAATGAGGGTGCCCTGAACCTTCTGCTCAGTCTTACGAAAACACGGCAGAAGGGTTTCTGTCGATCGTCTACGTAATATAGGGGCCTTAATAATTAGAATAGGGTTCTGGGGTATATTATACTATAATTATAATCAGGAACCCCCCAAACCCTATTCAAATAATTAAGGCTCATACGGTATCCTATGCGACAAGTAGTGGGCAGAATCTCTTGTCCGCCTGGGCTTGCGAGTTCCGCTGCACCCACACATAGGGCTGAGTATCCTAGCCCAGAAAAGGTTAACCTTTCAAATTATAGTAGGATTATATAAGCCCCGAAAGGTTAAAGGTTATCTACTATTCAGCCACTGAGCACAAACATGGCAAGTGGTGCCACTAACCATCAAGGAGTCATGGTCCAAGTTTTCGGAGTTCGCTATCAAGTTCCCCAAGCACTGTCCCGAAAGCAACCGAAACCCTAAACCCTGGTTCAGGGTTTAGGGTTTAGGGCATTCTTGCAGATGGGGCGCGGTGGTCTTCACGGATTTGTCTTTCACCGTCTTCAGGGCTCTCTTCGCCGCCTGGTATACCCCATGAATCCTTACAGAACCCTAGAGCCTAAAAGACCCGTTATAGAACCGTTACACCGACGCGTGTAGAACTCCTAAGCCCCTACAGGAACCCTTCTCATGCGTGAAGATGCAAAGGACCCACAGATTGGGTCGAAGGGCGTACACAGCTCTACTTAAAGGATTATGGGACCTAGTAAGTATGGTTAGACGTACCTTAAGCGGGGCTATGGGCAGTTCTATGAAGAGCTACCCCACGAATAATCATAGCTAAAATTATGAGTCCCATGTTCCTCAGCTCTAGTCATGTTTCCCGAACCATACAGTACGGCTCTTACTAAGCACAATAACGGCTGTAGGGGTAGACTATAGTACAACTGTACTCATGAGTATATGGGATAAGGGCCCTAAACCCTAAACCCTAAACCCTAAACCCTAAACCGGGGTCACTAAGTCTTCCGACCTCGATCTTCCACCCCCAGAGCCTGAGGCAGTGCGACATACTGCTGCTGCTTCTCAAATCACCAGATGGGTAGTTCTCTAAATTAGGGTACCCCTTCTTTTACCACCAAAAAATACGGGCACTCTCACAAAAAGGACCCTAAAGTAGACCCTAATTTAGAGAACTACCCAGATGACGATGAAGACAATGAGGGTTAGTATCAGGCTGCAGACTTACATGATGACGGTCCTAGGCCCTAGGCCCTGAACAAGACTAATCATCGTAAACTGGCCCGAAACCCTAAACCCTAAACCCTAAACCGCAAATTTAAACTCCATACCATGCTCGTCATGATCCATGGTTGTCTCGTCATTTGTTCCGTAGGTCTTGGCCGAAGGAATCGAAACGCCTTCTTAGCTGTAGTCTCCATTGTAGTTCCTTTTTGCGGATACCTTATAAAATCCTTAATCTATAATTGGTTAACCCAAAAAAAGGAACTACAATGGAGACTATAGGTAGCCTTGTAGTTCGACTGTGCCCTGGGCATCTAGGGACTAGGAGGAATGCCTTCTCCAACAATTCTTGAGAGCACTATTCCTAAACGAGCTTCGGTTTCATCAAAATAGTAGGTTATGACCCTTATGCCGTGAACCACAACCCAAACCTGAAGCCCTGGACCAACCTAATGGCCCTCAGGCCAAAAGCCTTCTTTACACAAGCCACCCACAACCCTAAGCAGTCCCAAAGCTTCAATCCTAACACCCAAACCCGTAAATTAAAGCCTGAACCTTAGACCCTAAACCCTAAACCCTAAACCCTAAAACCCTAAAACCCTAAACCCTAAACCAAACCCGTAAAGCCTGAACCTTACACCCTACACCCCCTGGCTTGGCCTGTCTCTTCCGTGCCAACTGGGCATCGGGAGCTCGACTGCGGGGGGCCATGGCGACGTCTCTCCGAAGCTACCAGGTGTCTTCTCCTCAACTTGAGCCGAAGCGGAACATAGGGGCCTTAATAGGGTTTTGGGGTATATTATACTATAATGACAATAAAGAACCCCCAGAAATAGTCTAGGCAATTATTTAAGCCCTCTTCAACTTGAGCCGAAGCGTAATGTAGGGTTTTGGGGCCCCTTTAAAGGGTTCCTTCAAGGGTTCTATAAGGGCTACTATAATAATAAGGGTTTAGGGTTTAGGGGCCTAAATAATTAGAATAGGGTTTTGGGGTATATTATACTAAATTTATAATAAGGAACCCCGAAAATAGTCTAGGTAATCATTTACGCCCCTATAGTAAAGTTCGTGTTCTGGTCTCAGGGTTCTACGGGCTGATAACGGCAAAACGCATCTTTTCCAGCGCCTTCCTTGTATCTTTAAACAAACAAGCCTATACCTTAACCTACCAGAACCGACATTTTTGTAGGTTCTTGTTATACACCCTAATATGGAATTTGCAGGGACCCTATTGAAGAGCAAGTTTTCAGGTTAAGGTATGGACCACAATGGCAGGGGTGTATGGACGTTCCAGGGAATTAGGGCAAGCTTATCGGGCTTAGAGTTTCGAGTTTGGGGTAGAGGATCACGTGGTGAAACGGCATCAGAAAACTAGCGTGCGAGCATATAATATCGTTCCAACTATAGGTGTCGATGTTGGGGTGTTTGTGTCATCTTTTTGTACCGTACATATATATATATATATGCATGTATATGTATAACCGTATATATGTATATATATGTATGTATATATGTACATATATATATATATACATATCACTTTTATGTATATATGTATATTGGGCAGGCGAGCGTTTACAGTTTCTGGGATTTAAGGTATGTGTTGCTTTTTGCTTGTCTTTTTTTTTGGGGGGGGGGGTCCACGCACGTCAGAAGTAGGAATTACTGCTGGGAGCTTCGGCTCGAGTGGTTGTGATGCCTGCCTGGCGTGGAGGGTTTCTTAAAGTCAGGTGCGTCCCTCTTGACAGGATCCTGCAGCTTGATACTCCCCTAAACCCTAAACCCTAGACCCTAAACCCGAAACCCTAAACCCTCAAACCCTAAAACCCTAAGCCCTAAAACCCTTAACACTAGGATTCGTTGCAAGGCCGCGGCCCATCCTGGCAAGGGTTCGGACCATACGTCCTCGGGCTGAGGGTTCTTTTGACGGTTTCTTCAAGGGCTCCTTTGCGGATTCCTTTGAGGGTTGCTTTGAGGATTCCTTTAAGGGTTTCTTTGAGGGTTCCTTTGAAGGTTCCTTTAAAGGTTCCTTTATATTCCTGTGAAAGTTTCTTTAAGGGTTTTTTTGAGGATTCCTTTAAGGGTTCCTTTAAGGGTCCTTTGGAGGGTTTCTTTACGGCTTCCTTGAAGCGTTCCTTTAAGGGTTCCTTTAAGGGTTCCTGTGAAGTTTCCTTTAAAAAGGTTGCGTTAAGGGTTCCGTTGAGGGTTTCTTTCAGGGTTCTTTTAAGGGTTCCTTGAAGGGTTCTTCAAGGGTGATAAGGTTTGGGTGTTGGGGTTTTAGGGAGTTCGGGCTTCTGGTTACGATGCTTTGTTTTTGATATAGGTAGGGTTTAGGGTTTAGGGTTTATACATTATACATACATGCGTACATACATCCATACATCCATGCATGCACGCAGGCGGACAGACAGGCAGACAGACACACTTATATGAGTGCATACTAAATTGCCTACATGCATATGTGTACACGCACTGCAAGGATCGCATCTCAGCAAGCCTCTGAACAATGTCGGGTTGTTTTACAGGCCTTGCCAAACATCGGTATGCACATTGACACGCTTCTACATGATATATTCAGGCTCATAACTTGGTGGTATCCCACACAGCTCTATCCGAAAATCCTCCTTGGATTGAATGATATGGTTGCCGTTCAATCCCATAGCTCTAAATCCTTCACGGTGTAGACGATGAAACCATGAAATCTCAAATCCAGCGAAGTCTTAACCCGGAAACCCGTGATTGCTGCACCAGAAAGAGAACACTCGCATTCCAAGCTCGGCACAGCACGGTAGACTGCATTTGCAAATCTTGAGGCAGGTCGCCTGTTCTGTGCTTTTGCGCCTCAATGTCTACTGTATGGGTACCTCGTACCTAGACCCTTGAGGATGTAGGACTTCGGGTCCAAAAGAATATGACTTCGGTGTTAATCTTGGAGCGCAAGGCTAGGGTGTCAGAAGTTGGAACCCTTAACCCTAAACGCAAGAAGCCCTAAACCCTACGAACCCTAAACCCTATAAGCCCTATAAACCCTAAACCCTATAAGCCCTATAAACCTTAGAGAATGAAGCCTAAACCCCTAAACCCTAAACCGGTGAGGGTTGGGGCTGGAGGAGCTCCGCTAGGCAGCAAGGGTTGAAGGTTTTTGGTGTGGCATTTAGGGTTATAGGGTTTAGGGCTTATAGGGCTTGGTTTAAGGGTTCAGGGGTTAGGATTTTAGGGTTTATAGGGCTTAGGGGTTTAGGGCTTAGGGCTTAGAGTTTAGGGCTTATAACACGGTTTTTAGGGTTTAGCGTTTATGGTTTAGGGCTTAGGGCTTGTAGGGTTTTGGACGAGTTTCCGTACAATTGTATAGTCTCCTAAGCCCTGACTACACCGTCGATGTAGCCTGTAGGCGAAGTGTCCCAAAGAACGTTAAAGGTTACACACCATACAGCACATATCTGTAACTGCCTTCTATCAGACATGATATGTATTGTTACATAAGGCTTCGATATGATCCCAGATGGTCCATATACACTACCACTATGGAATTAAACCCCAAAAGACCATCCTAACAATGGTTTCAGGGGACCTAATTCCATTATTGTAGTATATATGAACCCTCTTGGGATCTATTCTGGATCCTGAAAATACCTGAACCCCGCAGCTAAACGCCTGTGGAATCCGTGGCCAGGAAGATGTGGCGATGGGCAGTGGAAGCATTGAAGTACCTGCTGCTCAAGGCTTCGCGGGTTAAGGGTTGGTTTAGGGTTTAGGGTTTAGGGTTTAGGTTTTAGGGTTTAGGGTTTAGGGTTTAGGGTTCAGGGTCTGGGGCTTGCCGCTTACTGAGGTTTCGGATTGCAGATCTAAGGAGTCGTTTGACATGTAGGCTCAAGGTTCGCAGTCAAACAACAAATTGCGTCTTCTTTGAATTGGATGGGCGTTTTGAGTTCCAGTGGACCCCAGTAAGCCCTGACGCCCGCTTCTCCTCAACCATGAGCCGTTAAACACCCAGACCATCAACCCCAAACCCCAACCCCAAACCCAAACTCCAAACGAAACCCTAAACCTCAACCCGAAAACCCAAAACCCAAAGTCTAAACCAAACACTAAAGCCTGAACCCTGATCCTAACACCAAACCCAAACCCACACCGCGAACTGAAGCTCCGGTGTAAAGAACTCGAATACACGGACATCTACATTCCAAACACTCCCAGGACTCCCCATGGTGCCTTCAACAAATGGGTTTAGGGTTTAGGGCTTAGGGTTTAGGGATTCGGGTTGCATTTAGGGTTTAGGGCTTGGGGTTCTTTATTCGGCGGTCCTGTGTGTAAGGGTTTCGTCGTTTAGGATCTCTTTTGGCGGGGCCTTTGTTGTCCGAGATTCCCAGATCCTTGATTACAAAGTCACTCATGGCCGGGGAGCACGTGAGCAGGGGAAGCAGGGCATTAAGAGGTCGATACGCCCCACACCGGACCTTGGGACTGGGGCTGGCAAGACATGTTGGGTTCTCGAGGGCTGCACGGTTCAGGACTCCGTGTTAGCAGTCGAGACATTAGGGCCATGGGGGGTGGGCTCGTGTTTGCATTTGCATGATCTTGAGAGCTTACAATTCGGCTTCCAAGGTTCGGGATTTCAAGGTTTGGAGATGGATCAACACAAGGCTCTAAGCAACCCTTTCGTCTAAAACGCTTCTAGCCCAAATCCCTAAACCCCAAGAACTGTTGACCCCCAAGCCTTACATCTCAAACCTTAGAGTCCTAACCGCCACCTGAAAGCCCAAAATCCAAAACCCTAACCCCTAAAAGAAGTACTCCTAAAACCGAGAATCCAAGGCGGCCTGTCCCCCACACCCCTTAGACCTTCGAGTGTAGTACATGCTTTTACCTTTTTGGCGGTAACCTGTTGAGTTTTAAAATGAGAACCTGTTAGGTTAGAGCCTTATCATAAATATGTTAGGTTATAGAGCCTTATCATAACATAGGCTTGGGCATCCAACCAGGAGTACGACAGCTTGAGTTCGAGATAGAATCTTCGCACAACCCGTATTCTGAACAGTTGATGTAGAAACCCAAAAGCCCAGAGCCCCTAAGATATCCTGCAGCTATTCCAACCGCTTCCTCTCTCCGCCCTAAACCCTAAACCCTAGACCCTAACCGCAGACCCTGAACACCAAACTCTCCAAGGATACGCAACCCAAAATCCTCAATCCTCGGACCCTAAACTAACTACCCATAGGCCACATAGTAGTTCCTTTTTTGGGATTCCCTAATAGGTACGTAAATGTAAGCCACAAAAAGGAACTGCTATGGGGTCTATGGGTACTGTTCAAGTCGCTCAAGTTTAGACTTCCAGCATCATGCCTGAACACGCTCATGCCGAAACCCTAAACCGTAAACCCTGCCGGGGGGGCTTTGATGACTGAACCATGGTATGGAGTTTCGGGTTTAGGGTCTAGGGTTTAGAGTTTAGGGTTTAGGATTTCTATAAGCAGTTCTTCCGACCTCCATATTAAGCCCTCGGCGCCTCAGCTCAAAGCCCTTTGAGGGTCCATGTGCCCAAATGACAGATACTTTGGCCTTAACGTAGGCCCTATATAGGTACTTTGGGGTCAAAATGTATACTATGTGGGCGCATGGACCCTTAGGGAAGCACAACGTGGAGCCTTTTTGCCTTGGGCGCATGCTGCTCTCTAGACTGCACCACACGCGGACTTAGGAGCTTAGGACCTGGGTTTGGAGTTTTGGGTTTAGGGTTCAGGGAATCTCGGCTGTGAGCTTGTAAGGTGGCTTTGACGGAAGTTGTGATAAATCCTCCCGGAAATAGACACGCTGCACCTGAGGCCACTTCCTCTATCATGCGGGCTTCATGCGAGAGAAAGTAATTGATGTTCCTCTTTGGGGGTATCTGGAGCTGTCCGCGAGGCCTAATTAATGTAGGGGCCTTAATCATCAAAACAAGGTTTTGGGGTATTTGATACCATAGTTTTAGTAAGGAACCCCCACAACTGTATTGGTAATTATTTAGAACCCTTAACCCTGGTATTACCAAGCTTGGGGTGGGGCCTTTTTTGCTAGACCCGAACGCAACACTTTTAGCGGCACAAAAAGCCCCGTTGACTACACCCAAAAAACACCCTACCAAACACAAAGTTAATAAACAAAAAACAACCAAGAGGGTCCATATACACGACGATCAAGGAATTGAAATTAGGTCCCCCAAACCATGATTAGAATGCTCTTCCGGGGCTCTAATTCCATAATGGTCGTCTCTTTGGACCCTCTGGGCAACAAACTCGCTAAACCCTAAACCCCTAAAAAGAAACTCATGAATTGTTTAGAGGTTTAGGGTTCGGGGGAGGCTTTCGGGCCTCTCTGGGCAATAATTAGAATAGGGTTTGGGGGCCCATTATACTATAAGAAAATTCATAAGGGACCTTCAAGGTAATATTATAGGAAATTCTGAAGGCCCCGATATTACCCCATAGTATATACTTAGGTAACTTAGTTTTAGCTGCTCTTCTTCACTGCTTCTTCGATCGCCGCCCCACTGCCAGCAGGATACGCCCCGAGGAGCCTAAGCAACGAGGAACGAGATACCCCAAACCCTAATACTAAACCCTAAACCCCAAACCCTAAACCCTAAACCCTAAACCCTAAACCCTAAACCCTAAAACCCTAAACCCTAAACCCTCTTGCAGTGGATCGAGCGGGCCAGGGGCTTAGCACAAAATCCCAAACTCTAAAGAGAGACTGGTGAGAGATTGTGGGGCTTAGGGCCTTGGGATCTGAACGATGGGTGTAGGGTTTAGGGTTTGGGGTTTAGGGTTTAGGGTTTAGGGTTTGGGGTTTAGGATTTAGGGTGCAGCGTTTAGAGCCATAAATCCTGCACTGACAGGTTAAGGGCGGTGGGGCTTGTGGAAGACCGTGGGAGTTGTCGGAAGTCGTAGGGGCGGTTTAGGGTTTAGGGTTTAGGGCTTCAATTTCGTGCTGAGGGCTTCGTGTAGATTTGTGCTCGTGGGTTTAGGGTTTACCCGGAGAACCCAAATCCCACTTTTTTGTAGGTTCCTATTATAAACCCTAATATGGGATTTATAGGGATCCTACAAAAAAGTAGGTTTGGGGTTCTTAAGGTAGGGTTTCGGAAAAGGAAGCGAACATTAAAGCCGGGGTTGGGGTTGAGGGCTAAGGGGGTTTGGAGGTTTTGGAACCCGGGATTGGGGTTTAGGGGTTTAGAAGTTCGGGTTTTGGGCTTCACCCTAAACCCTAAACCCTTAACCCTAAACCCTAAACCCTAAACCGTGGTTTCGGGCTTGATGCTTTCGGCGCAGGGTTAAACCCAAAACCCTAAGTTTGCATACCTTCGCGCCTGGGGCTCGGTAGTGTAATTGGGGTTTAGGGTTTAGGGTTTATAGGGTTTAGGGTTTAGGGTTTAGGGTTTATAGGGTTTAGGGTTTAGGGTTTAGGGTGGCAGCGGCAACTGCAACTACGACCTCGATGTTCCATGAACCCCAGCATTTGGGAATTGTGGCATCTGTAGCCCCCAAACCCTGAAGTCAATGTCAACCCTAAAGCCGAAACCCGGAACCCAAAACAGAAAGGCCCTAAACCCTAAACCCTGAACCCTGAACCCTAAACCCTACACCCCAAACCCTAAACTCTAAACCCTGAACTCGACACCCGGAACTCGGAACAAGGAGCCCAAAACAGAAGGGCCCCACACACTCCAACCCTGAACCCCCAAATCCGAAACCCCCTAACCGCGCTAGAGGGATCGGGCTTGAGGGATCGGGCGACTTCAGAAATAGCTTTCGGTTTAGGGTTTAGGGTTTAGGGTTTAGGGTTTAGGGTTTAGGGTTTAGGGCTTAGGGTTTAGGGTTTAGGGTTTAGGGTTTAGGGTTTAGGGTTTGGGCTTACGGGTTGCTTTAAGGGTCCTTAAGGGTTTAGGGTTTAGGGAAGGGTCCTTAAGGGTTGCTGTACGGTGCCTTTAAGGGTATGTACAGTACACAACTATATAAATAAGGAGCCCTAGGGGATAGCAGTCTACACGAATTGCTCGGGCCCTAAACCCTAAACCCTCTTCTATATGAGCCTCGCAACCCTGAATATGAATTCCTACCTTAACCCACCAAGACCCACTTTAGGGTTTAGGCTTTAGGGTTTCGGTTTTTTGTAGGATCTCATTATAGGCCCTAATATGGGATTCATGGGGACCCTACAAAAGAAGTAGGTTCCTGGTGGGTTATGGTGGTCCTACATGCCAAAGCTTCCTTCCCCCACTTGGAGTTCCTGGTGGGTTAAGGTAGTCCTACATGCCAAAGCTTCCTTCCCACACTTGGAAACCGCTTAGAGCCAATGCTTTCAAGAGCAGACTCAACACTTGAGCCTGGTAGGGTTTAGGGTTTAGGGTTTAGGGTTTAGGGTTTAGGGTTTAGGGTTTAGGGTTTAGGGTTTAGGGTTTAGGGTTTAAGGAAGACTACTATACCCCCAGAAAGGGAAAGTGCACTCATTCTGCAGCCACAACGGTAGGATCAACCCCAAACTTCACATTCTAAGTGGCTGTGTAGGTAACCTTTAACCTTTTGGGGCTTATATAACCCTACCATAATCCCTAAACCCTAAACCCTTCTATAATTTAGAAGGTTAACCTCTTCTGGGCTAAGATACTCAGCCCCTAAGCGTTCGCCATGGAGCTCAACGCTTTCTAGGCCTGAAGAGCCCAGGGAGGAGAGAAGTCCTTCGATCAGCTGCTGCACCTCTGCGGCAAAGGCTTACAAGGCTTACCTGAACACCAAAGAACCTTTCTAAGGACATATAAAGGAAATATCGTAAGGAGCTCTGTAAAGGGGAATATAGGGGCCTTAATAACTAGAATCGGGTTTTGGGGATGTAATTATACTATCATTATCATAAGGAGCCCCCAAAATAGTATTGGCAATTATTTAGGCCCCTACATAATAGTAAGGAGCCCTGTAAAAGGTAGGTT